ATCAATCCTGTGTGATTCCTGTCATCATCATTCCGTCCCGCGCTCCTGCCGATTTCGTCACTATCCCATACACATACCTATTTTGGCGCATGTTGACTGTCTGCCCGATGCGTTTTCATACGGATCCCATAATCAGGTCTATTACGCAGAGATTAAAAAACGAACACATCTGGCCCTTGCTCCCCATCCCGCTCTTCGCGCTCCTCATCCGTTCCCCGCCCTCCTCCTCCTGGTCCTCCTCCTGGGGCTCCTCTCCCTATTCCCTGTCCTCCTCCTCCCGCTTGTCAACTTCCCACAGTCACCCCCTCCCGGACACCATCCCCCTAAAGGCCCCCAAAGAAAGTGATCAGATGTCTTCCCTCACCTGCCGCACACATCCGCCTGCTGCCATTTCCTGCTACTTTCCTCCCAAGGGCCCCAAAGCTCTTCCTCTTCCCGTTTGTTAGCCACCTACTCCCACTCGTTATCTTCCCAGTCTCCCCCTTGCAAACACTACTCAAAAAAAAAATGATCACGTGTTTTCCATCACCTGTCTCGCGTATTCGTGTATCCGCATCCTGCCGTTTCCTGCTGCTTTTCCTCCCAAGTCCCCCAAAGCTCTTCCTCTTCCCGTTTGTTAGCCTCCTGCTGTCGTTCGTCATCCCCCCCTCCTCCTCCCGCTCGTCACCCTCCCCTACTCCTTCCGCTCCTCCTGACACTCCGCCTATGGGTGGTCCTCCCCATCTACCTCCTCCCCCTCTCCTTCCCACTCCTCCTACGCCCTACGCCCGCTCCTTATCCAGCCCCTGCTCCGCCTCCCGCTCCCGTACTCCTCATCTCTGCCCCTCCTCGTGCGTCTCCTCCTCCCGTTCGCTATCCTCCTCTTCCCGCTCATTGTCTTCCGACAGTCGCCTCCTCCCGGACACCCCCCCCCCCAGAATAGTACTCATAAGCCTCCATGTTCCATTGTCTGCCGCTGCCCCCGTCCACCATTATCTTCCCTGCTGCCCCCTTCTCCCGCTGCTCCTGGCACTCGTCATCCCCACTACTTCAAGCGCGATTTTTCCCGCCCGCCTACTTGTCTTCAAACATTGACACGGGAAGAAAAACTGTGGCGGAACCGTGGGGAGGGGGGGGGGATGTGCCGGTGGGAAACGGTTTTGCTCCTTGGCCCGCGCGGGAACCTCTTTCTGGCCGCTTTTTGGGCCTGCACAGTTCCGCCACGGTCAGTCCCGTCATGAAACGCCGCGGCAGGCCCTGCCCTTTTTGCCCCTGCGTCATTTCGCGTCAGCGTCGTACCTGGCCCCGCCCGTCGCGCACGCCCGCGGGATTTCTCCAGCCCTGCGCCCGTGTTTCGCCGGTTCTCCCGTCGCCGATGCCCGTGACCGGTCCCGCGTGGGGGCACCCGGTTTCTGCTGGGCCCCACGCGAGGACCGCGTTTCCCTTTAGTAGTATAGGGAAAATAAGATATAAAAATAAGATATAAAAATAAGATATAAAAATAAGATATAAAAAATTAAAAATAAGATATAAAAATAAGATAAAGATTTTAAAAAGAAAGAAAGAGCTTGGTAGTTCTTGGTATGGTTGTTTGCAGCTGAGTCTGTCATCGAAGAATGACGAGTCACAAGGGTTGGTCGCACCAACAATCAACATGTCTTATTGTCAGAAATGGCAATGTGCTAGGAAAATGAGCAATAGCAAGATGACAGAATCGAGATTGCACAATCACATTGAAAGCCAGAAAGTCCGACAGTGTCCAGTAAGCAGCATTGCACCAATATTATACCAATGGAAAATGGAAACACTGAAACCGAATGTAAATGAGAGCTTACTCTCGTCATCACCAACATAAGTGTCCAAGCCCTTCCTCCTACTTGGCGTTCAGCGCCCAGACTACTCCCACACAGCTACTATCTGCCTACGAATTGACAATGCAACTGTTGACGTCAGCAGCCACCGAAGTACATGAAGATGTTGCCACTTGCAGACTATCGCCATAACCAGGTATGTGCCCTCACGTCATTCTCCTCATCTCTCTCTCTTACTCTCTCCCTTGTCTTTCACCCACGCCTTCTCCTTCATGCACGAAGACCACCACTACCACTTGCTGTACCACCAAGCACCAGCCAGCTGTGGAAGCTGGGCTATGGCGCTGCCCTCAGCAGTGCCCTACTCTCTACATGACCGCACGTGCGTTGCACCTTGCTCTGTGCTAGCAGCAGCCCACGAGTGCTCGCTCCAGCAGCACTGCCGCAAACTAGCAAGTGCCCGAATGACCGGCCAGGCAGCGAGCTCTTTCCTATATGGAAAGAGTCTGGCCTGTGCGCTGCCTGGCTGGGCTGGGCCTGTGCCCAGAAGCTTCCGGTAGAACCCGGGTAGCTGGGCCTCTGCTGCTACTGCCCTGGGCCCCGTTTGGTTACGCCTCCGAACTGCCTGTCGTGTATACTGCTGCGGATGCGGCCCAGGACCTGCTTCGAAGGAAGGCCTGGAAGGCCAAAACAAAGTTTGGCCTGGCCGTGGCCTGGGTTCCTCCAACCAACTGACACGACGCAACTGCCTGAACCCCAAATGCGAAATTGACAACAATGGGCCCCTTGTGATTTCATCAGGCCCGCCTTCACTTAGGGCGGGCACATGCCAAAAATGGGGCGCCTAGGCCTGCCGAGGAGTCAAATCCTCGCAAATGCGTGTTTTTGACAATAATGTGTGTTTTGTTAGAGCATATTCACAGGACTTTTTTGACTGAACCCTGCTGTAAATGCAGTCGGATACATTCAGGAAGTTGAACTGTCAGTATACCTGCTGAGCGTGGGTGGTGATGACAGGATAAGCTGCGTGATTGTTGGCAGGTGATGTCAGAGCAAAACGAAAGTGGTTGTGCCTTGTCTGGACAAAACATTCAGGTTCTTTTTCTGTGTGTGTGTGTTTGTGTGTGTGTGTGTGTGTGTGTGTGTGCTGTCTCTTATACACATCTAGATGTGTATAAGAGACAGGTGTGTGTGTGTGTGTGTGTGTGTGTGTGTGTGAGAGAGAGAGAGAGAGAGAGAGAGAGAGAGAGAGAGAGAGAGAGAGAGAGGAGAGAGAGAGAGAGAGAGGGTGGCAAGTTGACAACCAAGGATAGGATTATTAGAGTCACCAGGGTTGAATGCATAAAAAAAGCCACGCAGCTTTTGTGCCTGGTGACTGAGATCACCCTGTGGTGTGGGAGTGAAAGTCGAACAGAAGTCTGGCAGAATCGTGCGTCTTTTGTGGGGTTATGTATTGGCGAACATGACAAGACATGCACACAGGAAAAAGAAGGGGGAAAAGAAAAGTCAAGGATGACTTGACAAAATCGCAATTTCAAGCAAGTTTTGTTGGCTAATTCTTATGTGTGTGTGGTTGCCATTCGGCTACAAGCTGTGTACACATGTGCAATTGAGCACTTTACTGAATCATCTCTCCGTTGTATTCTGGTGGTGGGGGGGGGGGGGGGGGGGGGTGGCTTGCAGGTTGGCGTTCTTTGCTGTGTTTGATGGCCATGGAGGGAGGCATGCGGCAGATTATGCCCGTGCACATGTCTTTCAGTCTGTTCTATCTGCAGGGCTTGCCAGCTCTTGGAATGAAGGCCAACAGGTATTGCCTCTAAAGGTGTGCGAAGGTTTCCTTAATGTGGGTTCCATTAACAGGTAATACCTCTATGGATGTGCAGGTAATGTCTCTGCAGGTAACGCCAGCCTGTGGAGGCATTGTTGAACAAGTAATGTGTCTACAAGGTTTCCTTAAACCACCAGGACCTCCAAACCTCTTTTCCCGACGGGGATTTGCACTGTGCGGCCAAAACGAACTGCACTTTTTTGTGTTTTTTGGCTGGCGCCACCAGCCATTGTGGTCCAATAGCACTGTTCATGCGAAGAACCCGGATTGGCGCAATTTCGGTTCTCAAGTTTGCCTGGACAAGGTACTGGTGGTTTGGAACCCTCAGCAGGTAATTGATAACCTTCTTCCCAAGAACATAAGGCTCCATGATCATGACTGTTTGAAACCACCATGGGGGGGAGGAGAGAGAGAGAGAGAGAGAGAGAGAGAGAGAGAGAGAGAGAGAGAGAGAGAGAGAGAGAGAGAGAGAGAGAGAGAGAGAGAGTCATGATTTTTGGGGGAAGGAGGACGATGGGGCATCGTTGTTCTGAGATCCTTCAGAACTTCAAGCCTTTGTGGCAACGGGTCCTCATTGAGCGAAATCGAAAACAGACCAAGTGTGCAATGTGCCAGTCTTTAGCGGGGGTGTTAGGCGGAGTTAACATGCGGGACGTCCCAGACCCTGGGCGTTGTTCCTCTACCCACCATCCGCCAAGTTTGGCAGTGGGTCATGCGAGTTTCGCAGACTTGCAAAGTCCATTCACCAGAAATGTTTTAGAACTTCGTGAAAATGTTGATGTCGAGCCACCATGCCAGAGAAGCCGGTTTTCCCACCCTGCACCTGACCTCCTGCAGAGGGTAGACCAACCGACCCTTCCGTTGAACAAAATGTTTGTGGGCCCTTTTCTGGCCTAACAATTCTCAGCTGCCAAATGTAGTATGTAGTTGGATAGCAGCCAGGGGCTCAAAAGGTCTCCATTGATGGCGCTCCCTGTGCAAAAAGATATCCATAGATGGTGCTCCCTTTGGAAGAAGTCCCCATTGATGGGGTTCCCTGTGCAAACGTCTCGATTGATAGGGATACCTGAGCAAAAAGTTCTCCATGGGGCCTCTCTGTGTAAAAAGTCTTCATTGGTGGGCCTCCCGTTGCAAAAAGTCTCCATTGATTGGGCTCTGGGTGCAAACAGTCTCCCTGTGCATTCCCCTCCTTCGTCCCCCCATAGAAAAGGCTATTTATGGATGCACAGATTTTCTTGCTGTATCGAAGAGCCAGCAATCACCTTATTGCACCACTAGATCGCTGAAATCCGGGGGGAAAGAAACGGAAAAGAAAACCGGAAAGTCACAGCCCAGACATTCCGGACTTGGAACATCACTTTGTTAACTAGTACGTTGCAAATGGTTGGCCACCATCTTAACCGAAATAGAATGGGCGGTCATGATGGCTGTATCTGGACTGGAAGTTTCCCTAAAGGGAGTAAACACAAATGCAGCTATGGCCCGGCACTCGAGCATACTCGTGGTGGCAAGGATGAAACATCTCTGTGATCCCCATTCATCATTTTTTTTGTGGAAGACCTCCTCTATGGCTGTGGTCTGGCCACTGCTAATGCCTGTGTGCAGATCTTCTGCCGCCATCCTGTTTTTATAGGACCTCCGATTTGCTTGATATTGCCCTCTAGTGTGATGCGGATTCCTTTGCCTGCTTAGAGGCAGCAGAAGGTATTAACTATGCTGGGGAAGGGGGCATTTTACAATTGCGGCCCTGCAAGCTGCAATGAGGGACCGCCAATGTGAGCTGCTGAATTATGGTTGGCCCGGTGAGTGGTTTGATCCTTTGTCTCCTCACAAATCATCTCTGCCTGCATTTTACGTGGACTTATGGCCTCACTCCAGTACTCGACATTCCAGATGTATCTGAAGTTTCTGGAGTGTCGTTGTGGACCAGTTTTGGACCAGATAGATTTGTACAGATCCACTATCTTTAATGTACTATCGGGCAGTATCGGGACAATTAACAGATCCAGGCACGGTTATAGTGTTGTGTATTGGAGCGATGCCCTTGGTTGTTGCATGGCCATTCTTTGTGCCTCTTATACTTCGGAAGAGAATGGCGGGAGAACTATTCCATGGTTCATGGGACGATTGATATGGAGGATCTCCTTCCTGTGCAACGACCCTTATATGGTGAGGATCTCGTGTCTGCCCTGTGACGGAACAGGGCAATTCATCGACCCTCTCCGACCTTCTCCTCTGTATGGCTTCATATTAACTGTCACGCTCGGCTGCAGGTGCGCCATTGTCTCTGCCAGAACCACTACAATGCAATGGTTTCTACAGCCACATGTGACAAGCCCCTCCTTTCCTGTGATTGTGCATACCCTCTGCACGCCCGCACCATCACGTGTCCATTCTGAGGCCAGGGACATTATTACGAATGGACGCATCATAAAAAGAAAAGGCAAAAAATGAATGCATCGTCTGTTGGGATGCCTAAGGTTCTTTCATCCTGGCCTGCAACCGACATGCCTGTTGTCGGCAAAATGCTGTTAATGCCAGCTGTAGTGACAACTATTGTGCTGAGAATTTTCTCAAGTTGATTGTCCATACTGAGAATTTTCTCAACTTCATCCCTAACATGCATGTCCGCCTTGCTGCCAAGGACAGGCTAACTCCCGTGTCTTCTTCCGTTATCCTTCCCTACGCTATCATCACTTATCCACACACTCCTTAGCACCTGTCTCTTATACACATCTAGATGTGTATAAGAGACAGCATGAAGAGAGGTCGGCGATGGTGTTGGCAGTCGTGTACATTGGTCTTCGAGACTGGAAGTGATCCGTTGCGTGAACCGGCTGTAGGTAGGCTAGTCAGGTAGAGTAGGCTGGCCGCTGAGCGCCAGACAGGAGAGAGC